TGACCAGGAGTATACTCTGATTGAGAAGTTCAAATGAGAGGAGACTCAAGAGCTCTCTGATTTAAGTAAACACAAGAGATACTAAGCTAGAAGCCCCCCTAGAACATTAGGGAAGATTAGAGAAGGGCTGACGGGACAGGAAGTACTTAACCCTTCTCCTCAACTGCCTATTCAACTATTTCAGTTACTCATCTGAAGCTGCAATTAGTTCCATGGAAGGAAAAAGTGGTCTGACCAAAGATACGGGGGGATGGGGGGAATCAATTTTCTGTAGCAGGCAGTGATAATGGCCACCTCCAAGTGTGTATTCTGGTTCTAATATCCATTTCCCATATAACAGCTCCCTAACCCAAACCACTAAGTAATTTCTTTTAAAATGGGGAAGCTACAGACTGAAGAAATAAAAAGCAGATAAGGATTCAGGTCTCCCTTTCTTAATACATTTTAATACATTTTGCTCTGCTGCTAAAATAATTAATAGTGTTAATTAACATTGCTATATCTCTCAATTTACACTTCACGGAAACTAATAAGTGAAATTCACACTTAAATATGACCTACTTCTTTAAAAATATGTATCATAGGAATAGACACAGACTTGAAATGTGCACAGGCACGAAGACAAAATTTTAAAGGGCCGGTATTTTTAAAAATGGAATCTATGGTTTGGACACTGGTGGCTATATAAGGAAAAGCTAGTAAATTCCTCTGTTTGGAGACAGCTCCTAAGTATCTTACCAAAAGAGAAGCAGTTATATATACCCAGTTATCAAGAGTTCAGTTTTTATGCACAGAACAAATTCTCGTGACAAAAGAGTACTGAAACGGACTGTAATGTTCTATTAAATGGCTATTGACAATTACAGACTTTTCTATAACCAATTTAACTGATGGAGAAACTTATTTAAGAACATAAGAGAAATCAATGTTGGATCAGGCCAATGGCCCATCCAATCCAACACTCTGTCACACAGTGGCCAAAAAAAACAGGTGCCATCAGGAGGTCCATCAGTGGGGCCAGGACACTAGAAACCCTACCACTGTTGCCCCCCCCCCCAAGCACCAAGATGACAGAGCATCACTTGCCCCAGACTGAGAGTTCCTATCTATACCTTGTGGCCAATAGCCACAGACCTCTGCTCCATATGTTTATCTAATTCCCTCTTGAAGCTGTCCATGCTTGTAGCCGCCACTACCTCCTGTGGCAGTGAATTCCATGTGTTAATCACTCTGGGTGAAGAAGTACTTCCTTTTATCTGTTCTAACCTGACTGCTCAGCAATTTCATTGAGTGCCCACTAGTTCTTGTATTGTGATTGCAATTATTAAATATTATTAAACTAGGAGCAAAGGCCGTTGTGGAGGAAGACAACGAGCCCTAGCACAGCACGACGTAGGTGCCCCTGGTCTCCTGCTTTCCCCCCCTCGTGCCCCCTCAGAGTCCAGGGGCGAGGGAGTGACTTGTGAGCGGCTTGCCGGCTGGGTGCAGCCAGTGGCCCCTGTCCAGTGAGAGGCCAGGCAGCCACTGGTAGTCGCAAACGGCAGCAGGATTGGGCTCGGCCTGACGCCCCCCCCGCACGCTGGAGTGGCCGGCATGTCCATCGTCGGGTCACAGTCCAGCTGGCAACCTGTAGCCGGGCTCGGATGGCAACGGCGGTCAGATCCGGTTGAGCCCCCCCCCCCGCTGGAGCGGCCAGGCCATCTGTCGCTGTGTTGCACGCAGCCTGGGCGGCTACGTGCGTGCAGATGAGGACAGCAGTGGCAGAAGGAGGATCGGGCCGAGCCCCCCCCATGCTGGAGCGGGTGGCCGTTCAACGTTGGGTCACGCGCAGCCCGGCTGGCTATGCGCACTCGGGAGAGGATGCCTGTCGCGGCGGCGCACTGGGGCTGAGGCCCCCGGCAGCTGGAGCGTCCGACCCATCCGTCCACTCGAAGAAGAGTAAGGGTGAGATGTCGGGTGCCGCCTCTGTGGGAGGAACAACATCCACAGAGGCAGCAATGCAGCCAGTGGAGACAGAGGCCCTGTGACTGACACACCAGGGCGCCAACTAATTCAGGAGCGTGCGGAATGTTCTGGAGAGTGCCACCACCAGAACGCTTTTATTATATATAGAGATTATTATGTTAATAATCATAACACAAGAGATGGATTCATATGGGTAGTCGTGTTGGTCTGAAGCAATAGAACAAAGTTTGAGTTCAGTGGCACCTTTAAGACCAACAAAGTTTAAGCTTCCATGAGCATAATTTATTAGAAAATATGGGATGCCTCCAACTATTTGTTCTTTTAGTCTAGTAACTTCTTTCTGACTGCAAGTCTCCTAATGCTGTACAAACAACCTAATATCATGAGTTTAATACCTAGCTTGACACCTTGGTGTGGATCAAAAACATTTTCACAATGGGGCCATTTTGGGAAACCTCGACTATCCACAAACAAGCCCAACACTGCCATCTCTATGCTGCAACCAGACACAAAATCCTATGCAGACAGAGTAAAGGTTTAAGAGCACTGACATCACTGAAGACTGAACTGTACAGGATTGAACTGTAAACTTCCTAACAGTGATGCAAACATATAAAACTGCCAAGCAGAAAAGCTGAACAATGATGACAATTTAACAAAACCAGACTATTGATAGTCTGTTGTGTCAAAAGTTCTGGCACACCTGATATCAGTATGCTGGACATTATGTTTGCACAGAGACTGATAGGCAGTGGCCAACATCTGTAGGCTCCACAAGCACACCACAGAACTGAAGTGCAGAGATGACACAACTGGAAAGTACATATTAGAATCTATCCACACGGGTCCTTATGCTGGTGTGATATCTAACATGCAAGTGCACTGAGGGGAAGGGTTGCCAGTCCCCCCTCCCCCCGGCCACTGACAGGGGATGGAGGGTAGGATTGTCAGATCCAGCTTGGGAAACTCCTGGAGATTTGGGGGTGGAGCCTGGGGAAGACAGGGACCTCAGTAGCCATAGAGTGCACCCTCCAAAGAATCCATTTTCTCCAGGGCAACTGGTATCTGTAGTTTGCAGATGAGCTGCAGTTGTGAGGTCTCCCCAGGTTCTACCTGAAGGCTGACACCCCTATGGGGTGTGACTGATCACCATGATTATGAGTGCGGCATGAAGTCCAGAGTTGCATAGTGGTTAGAGTAGCACCTGGGAGACCCAGGCTCAAATTCCCACTCTGACATGGAAGTCTGATGCACGGCCTTGGGCCAATCTCTTTCTTTCAGCCTAACATACCTCACAGGGCTGTTATGAGGATAAAAAGAAGGAGGGGAGAAGGATGTATACCACTTGGGTCCTCACTGGGAAGACAAGCAGTATATAAATATCTAAATATTTTAAATAATTTTTAATACCGTGAACACTGCATTACCCAACACACACACACCAGTTAGATCATCTGGAGTAGGCCAGAGAGGGTACAGGGAAGAGAGAGACACATATTCAGTCTGCAGATGGTATTGTTATTTTTACCTGCAACAGACTATTGCTTCCTTTTATACAGGCAACTCAACATTCATTCTGGATTTCAGCAATGTTTTAAAATTCCCCCAAATAAACCTTATTAAATAAGTGCACAGAGGACATAAAAACCGAGAGGTACTAAAACAATAAATACAGCACATTAAATTTCAGTTCTGAACAAGGGAACATAGCAATGAATGCCTCTTAAGAAAACAGTGAATTTAAGACTAAAGGGGAAAAAAGGATCTGTAATATAATAATATAGTGAAAGTACAAACGCATACACAAATGATTCAGCTACTAAACTACACATATGTGCTTGAACTCTACTGGGAATAAAATATTCCAGTAAAAATAAGAGAAGAGATGGAAACACAAGTTTCTTATTATCACACTTCATATGTCATAAAACATAACAGTTAACTTATTTTTGGCAAGGTGACAGAAGTTGCACAACAATCTGGCTTACACAAATATTTTCTATTGTTGAACACATCTTAAATGTGGCATGCCATACGTTAACTTAAAACATGCAGTGCTTTTGCAAAGTGTCCTAAACATACTGAACGAAGGGTTCAACAAAGAATTACTCCGCAAGCGGTGTCCGCAGGTAAAAGAAAATGACTCAACGTAACTGAAACTAGGTAATACTACTTGAGTAAAAGATGATGAATGAAAAAGTATGCATGGTCTCTAGAATGTTCTGTTTGTTTATTTTACAGCTGAAAAGGAACAGTTTGTGTTTATTTTACAGCTGAAAAGGAACAGTTTGGGAACAACTGAACTTTCAAAGCAGGAGATGGGTGTAAAACATACACAAACACGTGGTATGTGTACGTCTTACAGCCACCCTGAAACTGGAACCTCAGTCATTACGAAAAATTTGATCTTCAGGGGGCGGAAATAATGCAAAATTTGCATGTATGGCAGGACTGGAGGAGGTGTCGATAAGAAAGTCTACCTTCCTGCAGGAGGTAAATAAATGCCATTTAGCTATATAAATAGTAGGAGATAAGAAGCGTGTTCCTACAGAAGCTGCTTGTAGGTTTTTTGACTGAAAGAGACAGACATAGTGTGCATGTTACTTCACAGTGTTTCCCAGCCATCAACTGCTTCCTGGAAAAAACACGTTCCAGCGGGGGGTAGCTGAGTTTTTCTGTTGCAGCACAGACATGCAAGGGGATAGGAGCCCATGCATGCATGACCATGAAACAATTTTGCTGTAATAAAAATGGGTCAGTTTGCAAAGTGCCATGAGATTCCCGTTCATTTTGAAAAACGCATCTGAATCTCACAGCTCAACACGGGATGCTTTTTCTCCACTCTTGTCATTCTTGGTATTTATTTTTATGTTTATATTACATATGTTCATCTGAGATCAGCTGGCTTGCAATAAACAAAATTAAAAGCATCATAAAACTCTTAATCAAACATATCCAACAAACTGAAGTACTAAACTCATTGCTACAAAAATGAGGAAAAAGTAATTGACAAATTTAAGTAGTCTCTTACATACCTCCAATTCTGGTGCTTGCTTGATCATTTCAAGAGCAATATAACAACCAATTGAGTGGCCAATGAGCACAAGCTTCATATCCTGAGGCACAGTCTTTCGGAGGAAGTTCAGTTTGTGTTCAGTTTGTCCACAAAGTCCAAAGACATCATCCAGTTCTTTAACATCTGTGTCTAAAATAACCACAAAGCTTATTTTATTGTCCTTTGCACTGAAGAAGTTTCATTTCATTCACTCTAATTTCTTACTTCATCTACAAATATTTTTTCAAAAGATATCATGAAATGACTTTAATGATATATACACACCTCACACCTGCACCACTGATCGATGACAGGATGGAATATTAATGCAAAGGACAGAAGGCAGCTTTGAAGTACAGGATTCAATGTACAATGTAACTTGAAACTATGCCAGATTTGTGCTATGTTCTCTTCTCTGCAGAATTACATCTGATACAGAGACAATTTTCTGCTTTATTTATTTGATTTATTTACATTATTTATAGTCTGATTTTCTCACAGGGACTCAAGGCAGGCTACGTATAGTGAGTCAATACAATCAACAAAATGAGACCAGTGCATTAGGATTTTAAAAGTCTGGAACCATCAGAAAGAACTGAACAATAGCATAAGTATTAACAAGACACGTTAAGCAGTACAGAAATTACATAATAGGATTCTACTTACAATAAGCTATACGCAGCAGTGTAGACCACAGTCCCAATGAGGGTTCCCATCCCCCAGGCAGGGGTGGGGGATCCGCTGCTTTTGGGGGCTTCTGCTTGCCAGCAGCGAGCTGACTGGTGGGGGAGACCTCACCACCCAAACAGCAACATCATACGGTGACATCCCTGACGCGATGATGCCACACGGAAGTGACATCATTGAGCTGGAGACATTGTGCGGTGATGCTCTGGTTTGAGGGTGAAACTCTATGGTTTGACCACAATTTTTCCATAGAGTTTTGCCCTCAAACCAGAGTGTTGCCGTGCAACATCCCCAATGTGATAACATCACTTCTACGTGATGTCACCATGTCAGGGATGTCACCACGTGACATCACTGTTTGGGGCGGAGTCCTGCCCCACTCCCGGAAGGCTCCCACCCACCCCCGCTGGCATATTGTGGAGACCTGGCAACCCTAGTCCCAACCTCTTATCCAAGTAAGTCTGTGAACCATTTTGTACCATTTAACCCACTCTATTATCTGTGCAGAAAATCCCTCTTGAATAGTTCAGTTTGCATAGCTTGTGGAAGGCCATTCTGTTTTATTGACTCACCTTCTTACCAAACAGAAAATCTTATTCTCATATAGGGGTGTCTAAAGCAGAGTCAGTCAGAGTGCTGTAAGGGACAAATAATTAGGTGTTGCCACGGAGCTTTCATTTTTGTCACTCTCTCTCTTTTCCCTTACAACTTGAGGATGTGAGACCAACCTATGAGATGGATCTAGACAGCTTTTTTGCTGGTTAAAATGGGAAGGAGGATCCCCTCTGAACACCCCAAAAGCTATGCTGTGCATCACGGGACCTGCATGTATAACTGCCATGTGGAATAGGGGCTGTACAAAGGAAGAACACTGGACAAGACAGGATGAAAAAGATGGCTGGATCCAACCCTCGGTCTGTTAATGATATGAGGCTAAGAAACAGAATTTCTGGCCATGAGCCCCTTAAAAGCCTGAGGGCTAGTAGGAGTAAGACCACGCCTAATTAAATAATACTTCCTGGAAAGAACTGTTCCCAGCAGAAGACAAAGATCTCCTGGTGTTGGGAAGAGTATTAATCAGGACAGCTCAACTATTAATCAAAGCTACTTTGTTAGGACATGGGCCCCTGTGCTGGACTACATGGTAACGAATGATATTCTCCCTGCTAAACAGATCTATCATAAATGGCTGTATTTATAGTTTGTAGCAGTTGTTCTATAATGGTCGGACTCATGGTGATTTACTAATGCTGTATGGAGGGAATAGATGTTAGAAATGCTAGCAATTATCCTTATTAATTTAGAAGCAAAAAGTATTTGATGTATGTAAAGTTTATGTTATTAACAAAAAATAATAAAAACTTTAAACAAAACAAAACAAAAAGCTACTTGACCGTAACAGAATTGTACCATTCTAGAATTCAACCACAGAAAATAACTAAGCCTGCACTAGTATTTCCCACTCACAGGTTCTCAGACTTCATAGGGTGTTGGAACTTCCCACCCCAAAACTTCCATTCAGCAAGATCAGAGACTTCCCTTGCTTTTCTTATTTGGAACTTTCCCCAGGACCTAAAAACTCATTCCTGCCTTTGGACAAGTAAGGAAAACTGAATCCTCCTCCAACTCTGGTGATAAAAGAACTTGTATTTATTTTTGTTTTTAAACTCAAGCCTCTAGCTTTATAACCAGGGTCAGAATCTTTCACCAAACTGAAGTTCCTGTGGGCTCCTGCTGGGTTCACCACATTGTGGTTCTAGACACTCCGTCATATGTCTCTGTCTTTCTGATAGCTTTGGACTCACATCAAGGCTCATCTCCCTCTCCCTTTTTCCATTTATTTTGAGGATTATTTTGCTGCCTGGATGTTTGCACTCCTGCCTAGGGAACAAGACCAATGCTGAATCTTCATATCATACATGGCCAGGGTCTGGCATACCTGAGGGAGCGCCTTTCCCCATACAGGCCCCAAAGAGCACTTCGGTCGGGGTCACAACACCGCCTAGTGACCCCGGGCCCTAAAGAGGCCAGGCTTGTTGCCACAAGGGCCAGGTCCTTTTTGGTGGTGGCTCCTATCTGGTGGAATGAGCTCCCGGAGGAGATCAGGGCCCTGTGGGACCTGTTACAGTTCCGCAGGGCCTGTAAGACGGAGCTCTTCCGCCAGGCTTTCGAATAGGAGCCGCCGCCGCCACCACCACCACCAACGGGGGACTGCAAAGCAGTACTGCTGGGTTGGGCCGTTCTGGCCGTCTGAACATCATGGCCCACAGCATCCCCCTCGTTGACCCCTATGTGGTGAGCAATAGGGAGCGAGTATGGTAGTCGCGATGGATCCTTGGGAGTTGCTTACTGTGTTTTAATTGTTTTAACTGTATTTTATTGCACTGTGTGCCTTAATTGTTTTAACTGTGGTGTTGTATTACACCTCGTGTTGTAAACCGCCCTGAGCCCGCGTGCGGGGAGGGCGGGATATAAATGAAATAAATAAATAAATAAATATCCTTTCTGTTCTACCTTCTTGTCTTACCACTCCAAGATCTTGTCTCCCTTTCTTGAATGATACACAGAGATGTGTGGATATCAGGAACACTTACTTCCACATGGGAATCACAGTGTTGATTTATACCATTACAGTATACTTGATATTATCATGACTGCTTGAGTTTTGCTGATCATTCCCGTTAGTAAACTTAGGGCCAGATCCAGACTAAAGTTTCCACCAGCAGAAATTTCTTGTCTCCCTCCTTTCATTGCAGCTCACTGATCTCTATGAAATCCTCCTCCTGGGGGATAGGGGATCTTGAGAATCAACATGGTGTGGGGCATCACTTTCTCATCTGATCTCTTGATTTCCGTTTATACTGGTTATTACCAAGACTGAGCACTTTCCCCTAAGCTAGGTATAAAACCTAAGCCTGCAGCACTAAGGGATGGTGGAAAGTAGGCTTTCTACTTTATTCAATCTCAGGCTACACTAGTATGAATCGGAGACCAAATTATTAAGTGGGCTCCATTCCACGTGGGTTCTATGTAGCTGGAATTTAAGTGTGCTTAAAACACATTGTAAAAATCTGAAGCCAGGTTAAAATGCCCTTGTTCAGCCAGCCATGAAGCTCACTAGGTAGTCTTGGGCCAGTCACAATATCTCAAACTAATCTACACTATACAGTTATTGGGACAAAACAAGAGAGGGCACTTCTGTTCCCCTGAGCTGGGTGGCATGTATACTTCCCCAAGTTTCTTGAAACTAGAATGAATTAATAAAGATCCCATTAACTTAAATGAACAAGAGACAGAACTTTTCGGCAGTTTTCCCACTACAGTTGTAGAAGTGGTTTCCAGAAGAAAGCACTGGGGTTTGAGAAAAAAACCATCCCTTTTACACAGTCCATTCACCTTCTAAGATACCCACTCAGAGTCTAAAACATTCACATCTCTCCTTATATATAATTGAATAGTGGGTGCCAAAGTTCTAAAATGCACTCCTTTAGTGTATGGACGTTTGAACTGTCAGTCAGAAGACGCTGGCTGGGTTGACTGGCTGCTTTGTGCAGTCCCGCCCAGTGTTTCAAGGTCTTTTGCATATGGAAGCTGATTGGACTTCACTGCATTCCACACCTCAAACTCACCCCCCTCCCTGCAAGGCAGTTGGAATGTCAGTTGCATATGGAACCTTCAAGGTCTTTTGCATATGGAAGCTGATTGGGCTTCACTCCATTCCACACCTCATACTCCCCCCCCCCTCGCAAGGCAGTTGGAATGTCTGGTGGTGTGTAGGTCCCAGGATCATGTTTTAAAAGCTGCCTGGGGAGATGGGGACCTCAGACAGGTTACAGTGCCATAGACTCCACCCTCCAACCCAGCTATTTGCTCCTGGGGAACTATTGTTGCCAATCTTGGCCCAGCACCCATCAAACCATTCTCTTCAACCCCCTGCTGTGCAGCACACTTTCCCCTAGGGTTGCCAATCTCCAGGTGGGACCTGGAGATCTCCCACTCCTACAATTGATTTCCAGATGACAGAGATCAGTTTCCCCTGGAGAAAATGGCTGCTTTGGAGGGTAGACCCTATGATATTATACCTGCTGAGTCCTTCCGCCCCCCCCCCGCCCCATGCTGCCCTCTACAGACTCCACCCCCCAAACCTCCAGGTATTTCCCTCCTTAGAGCTGGCAACCCTACATTCCCCTCAGTGCCTGTTGGTAGGCAACTAAGCTTGGTCCTGTCACCTACTTTGGCCTTTGGGAGAAAACACATTGGGGCCAGTCCTGATAGGGTTGCCAACTCCAGATGGGAAATTCCTGGAGATTTGAGGGATGGAGCCTGAAGAGGGTGAGGTTTGAGGAGGGGTGGGACCTCAGACAGGTACACTGCCATAGACTCCACCCTCCAAACCAGTCAGTCCCACATAGGGAACCATTGTTGCCAATCTCCAGGTGAGGGCTGGAGAGCACTCAGAATTA